CTTTGCATTCAGAAGAAGGCTCTAAGAGCTCTCTGATTCTCTTTTCTTATCTTTCTGTTGCTGTTGTTGGCGGACTGATTAAGACAAACAAGGATATATAACCCAGGGGAATCGAGTGCAAGGATAACCTTGACCACAGTTTTATTGTTTAGTAACACGCGAGGAAAATACAACCTTATTGTTCACGCAAATCTACATACAAATACTCACAAACAGGGAAATATCTCAAAATCTAAAAAAACATTAACTAAACCCAAACTGATCATAGAATAACGACATTCCACTTCTTAAACCAGACTACAAAAGCAGAATAAAGAATATACCGACCTTGCTGAAGTATGAACGAACAACAACAACGAGGATACTATTCCAATAGCAGGCATACTTTTTTCTTAATTTCAACTTTAACTATATTAAGGATTTATATAATATCCTCGAAGTGATCGAGAAGGTTTAGGCACAATTCCAAAGCTTCATCGGGGTTGCTTGGAGCCTGAAGATTTTCATCGGCTATTATCATCTCAGCCAGTTCTTCAAAGACTTCAAACGAACTGTCCATTGCATTTTGAGCACAGTACATTTCTTCTGCAAGTTCTACGTCATCTAACGTGACATCATGAATGTAGCTGACTTTGCCATTTAATGCTGGCAAAAAATATAAGATATCTGGTCTACCACTAGGGGAATCGCGGTTTGAAGGCTGAGGACGTATCTTATGAAAATTCCACAACTCTGCAACATGATGTAGTTCCTCCCTTATCAACGGCATGAAGCAGAACTTGACACATTGTACATGCACGATGTTATCATCATTATATAATCCTGTCTCTCTCAAATCCTTAAAGTAATTAATCCAGAAGTCTGTATTCATCTTTCTCAAAATGCTCCACCAGGCTTCGATTTGTTGATTAGCAACCGAACGCCCATACATGAAACTTTTGTCCCCTGCAAACACGTCATCGTATCCCTCTCTAAAAAAACGCTGAATAGCTGCAACCTGACAGTTCTCCGTACCGCAATCCCCCCTCACGATTCGCGGAGTTCCTCTTATGTAACGAACGGTCTGTAAGAAGTACTTTGCTATGATGCATGGGTTGTTATTGGAATGATCTACTTCCAGCCACATGATCCGACGACTGTAGCCGTCAATGGCCCCGTGGATACAAAACCCAAAGGGCTTAAGTTTATCATAGCCATCGATGTGCCAGATACAGTTTGGGCCATTAGCATGGTACTTGCGTCGTATCAAACGCTTGTGTGAGCGTCTTGCCACTCCTTCGGGATCCAACGCTTGTAAAGCGACTCGTACTGTTTCCCTATCAGCAACGACACCGTAGGAGCAGCAAATTTTCTGGTGCATAAGGCGATATCCAAATAAGCGGCCGCTTCCCCGTAGTTCATTTTCGACGGCGTCGATTATTTGATTCACGGAACTTTGCTGTTTTCTCCGTGAAATACCTCGTTCTCGTAGAATCCGCTTTAACTGACTCATACTAAGGCAGATTCCATGGCACATAACGAGAAAGGCAAGGATTTCCACATAATTGATTCCCATACAAAAATATCTTTCTATCAGAGAATCACGATCTATGATTCTTCCGCTTTGGTAAATAACAGGCAGTCGAAAACTGCTTGTGGATGCCGGTAGTTTTGTAGGGAGATTGAAGGAATTTATTACAACATTGTAAGTGCAAGATTACCTAAAAGAGCAGTACACCTTCGACAGCAGATAGGAGATAATAAATTTA